TCTTCTCATGTTTGCAAGGTTTTCCAATTTTTCCTCAACTATGACAATAATTATTAAAAGACCGTGTTGAGGAGACATAATTAAGATAAATAATATATTATTCGCATAATTGTGATACAACTAATATTTTGTACAACCATATATTATTGTTGAACCTCCTACTTTTTCTATAATTCAAATCCCGAATAATTTATTACACATTAACACTGTAGTCTCACTTTCTGCCCCTCTTTCTTCAACAAAAAGTTGAATTTATTACAATTCTTTTTTGACACAAAAAATATAATAAATAAAATTAAGCAAAGATCAACTCTAAAACAATTTTTAAAGGCTATTTATGAATATCAGACCAATCGTACATACCACCGAAATAATCTCCTGGCATATCAATTCCTGTAACAAACACATCAAACATCTAATTATTCTGCTGTTAATAAGTCCCGGTTTATATATTTTATACATAACATCCACTAGGTCAATTAGATCAATATTAATTAATGCGCAGTATTATTGTATAAATGTAAATTTATATTGTATAACGATTTTTAAACAAACGGTTTAAATTTTATTTCTAATGATTTTTTAAAATCTTAAACATAAAACATATATAGTTTTTTTTTTTATTTAAAAATACATTCTTTTTTATATTTACCTAATTTACTCTCTATGTCTTGAATCATTTTGTCGAATAAATCATCATAGACTTCTAAAATTTAAAACAAAATACATTTTAATGTACCCCCATATATTTTATTATTGAGACCGATATATCATATTGGTATTTGTCAATAGGACATATTATTATTCTCAAAGTAATTATAAATAATAAATATGCAATAAGTATAATAAATATAAAATATATGAAAAAAGGATTTTATTTTGCATTAGGTGAACTGGAAGTTCAGAAATTAATACAAAAATCTCGTGTGCATAAAGAATATTAAAAAACTGTTTGGAAACGCTTCCTTAAAGTGCAATGAAATGTATTACCTGTTCTTCTCATGAGAATTTGTGGATGATCTGAAATTAACAACACAAAAATTAATGTAATTGCATTGAATTTTCTATTCTATTATAAACAGGATGATGAATTTCAAGGAAGAAAAAACATGTGTGCTAGTAATTTGGAATAAGTACGTTTCACTGTATATTCAATTAGTGTCTCTTTGGCGAATTCAATAGGAATGAAATATTAGAAATAATTTTATCAAATTTAACAAAATCTATTACCCGGTACAGTTGTCAAAAAATTAATATGGCCTGAAATGTTAATTAATAAATAATATTGAATTGAATTTGCTATAGTGAATTAGTAGTTATAACATTATTTATATATAAATTATAAGGCAAAAGTCAAAGTAGAAAAACTATATTATATAGACTAGTTGATGTATTTTATGCGATGAGAATAAAATATATTAATCAAACGAGGTTGATAGAGCTTACATCAGTATTTTTCATAAAGCTTCTATTCAAAATTCGGTAAAAAATATAATAATTATAAAACTAATCAGTTGCATAAAGTGAACATGAGATGAAGTTTTTATATAATTTTCAAATATATTTTTCTACTGTTATCTTGATATTTTTTATTATTATTATAACTATGATTACGGAAATTTTGGTAGGTCAGGTCATTATTGACATTATCAACCATTGTCTCTATTAGATACTCCAATCCATCTAGAATAAACAAATGAAGATTTATGCTATACAAAAATATTAAAATTAAATCAAATACAAAGCTTTTTTATATATTAGCATATTATTTAAAATATTACATCTTACTTGCTTCAGATCTACCTCCTATAGTTAAATCATTCTTTTCATAAGCAAGTTTGATGCCAATAGCTGTGACACAATTTTAAAAATATGTATAAAAACAGTAAATTTTAAAAACTTAGAAAACATTTGTTTTAAAAATAAAAATGTTACTGACTTGTAATGTGAACTAATTCCATATAACGATCTGTAAAAAAGTGTAATATTGATTTTTTTCAAATTTAACTTCTTTAAGTTTATAACTGTGATAATAAAATAATTACCATAAGGTGCCAAAACTTCCATAAAGAATAAAGATATTAATAAACAGTAGAGTTTCATTTTTATCTGCGAATAATAATAAAAAAAAACACATATATTAGTCACAGTTACCTCCGGTTTAGAGATGAAAAGGTTATAATTTTGCGAGGCCGTTTTAATGGGTTATGAATACATATATATGTATTAACACTTTTCTACCTGGCCCACAATATTTCCAAAACCACTAACTGATTTTTTTGTATAGAAGATAGAAATCAAACTAGAAAAGTTGATTATTTGGCCAAATATACAGTAATTTCACTACACTGAGGATTGACAGAAATAAAAATGATTCTCTTGACTATTTAAATTGCATAGTATAAAACTTAGGTTACACTATTCAAAATTGAAATTAGGGGAACAAGCCCCGCTCGTAATTAGTTTGGAAGTTACAGACTTTTAAAGTTGGAATCATGTTGACGAGGAATCCGATCATAATCGAGGACGAAGTACCCGGCGGGCGCGGGTAGACGTGCGGTGCCGGGCGAGCGCGTATGTCGATTAATAAACAGAAGAGTTTCATTTTTATCTGCGAATAATAATAAATAAAAAAACATTATATATTAGTCACAGTTACCTCCGGCTTAGAGATGAGAAGGTTATAGTTTTTCGGGGCCATTTTAATGGGATTGATACATATATATGTATTAATATTTGTCTACTTGACCCACAATATTTTCTTAACCGCTAACTGATTTTTTTGTAAAGAAGATAGAAATCAAACTAGAAAAGTTAATTTTTTGATCAAAATTACAGTAATTTCACTATACTGAGGATTGATAAAAGTAAAAATAAGTCTGTTGACTATTTGAATCGCATAGTATAAAACTTAGGTTACACTATTCAAACTAGAAATTAGGGGAACAAATCTACTTTACCGGACACCCTTTATTTTTTAATCGATAGTATTTTGCATGTTGATAACGAATATGTAAACATTTTGCCCCGCTCCATACCGGCCTTTTTCCACTGTTAAGTTTTTATACTGGATAATAAAGCCAACAAAGCATAGTTAAAGTTCTTATCTTTCAAACAATTTATAATTTAAATTCCTGTGTGCATTACAGACTTCATACCATTGGAAATACATAAGTACTATTTTGAGTGAAAATGCACCTTGTGCTTAATGGACTTGTGCTCTCGCAACACAAACGAGTGTCATCTAAATCTATTAAGATTTGAATATCTACGATATTACAGTGTAGACATTAGTGCTATGTTAAAATTAGATCACTTGGTCTTCTGTTGAGTTTGATCATGTGTACACTATAATTATTAAAACACACTTTATTCTTTAAAGGCACTGCTAATATAGTATTAAACTAATATGCGTAAGAGCTGTGTAAAGCTAGACATTTTTTTTTAGAGTTGTATTTAATTATTTATCAATTAGCATAAATTAATTTTAAGTAAATGTGTAAAATGTATTGTTTTAGTTAAATCTTGACATTTGAATATAAAAAGACAATTTAGGTAGGATTAACTCTAGGTGTATTCAAAGTATTCATTCTGACTATGATAATGCAAATATTGGACCCCTATAGTGGTTATTTGTAGGTTTTTGTGTTGCAATTGAGTCCTAAGGTAACTAATTCTAATTAGAACATTAAAATTACAATCACTCGACTTATTTAAAAGGGCGTCACACCACCCATTTTCAAGGAGTAAAGTATAGGCAATTTTTTAAAAAATATTAATTTAAAGGGTAAACTGTGATGAGTAATTATTAGTTCAATAACTAGGACTCTATTTTGATAGTTAATTTATTTTTCAGACTATCACAGCATCCTTGAAAGCGATTTAAAAATGTTTTTTCATCACTACATGTTTAAGCAGACTGAAAACAACTCGCTTAATTTTGGTTTTAGAGTAAAAACACCCATTATAAAATTAAAAGAAAATAATTTTCCATAGGGCCCCACGGTGCGTTTTTTTCATTATTAAAAGTAGTTGCGTTTTGTTTATCGAACGAGTAACACACATGTTCCGCTTTCGAGTGCCGAAGTCGCGCGTTGTGTTTAAAAAATATTGTACGTATTGTCTAAATAATATTGTATAATAATATTTAACACGCGAAGAAGCTGCTGGTTTTGAGCAGCAGCTAAAAACAAATGCTAACGGTCACATAAAAATCATTTAGATACTGATATCTGCTAGATCAAAAGAGACATTGCCGACCTAGGTCATTCTGCAGTCAAGGTTTCGAATATCGAAATTAAAAAGAAACTTAACCCAAATGAAAAAAACAGCGAATGGAAGTATATAAAACTACCTTTGTTTTTGTGGACCTAGATCCGCAAACAAATAACAAAGATATCTATGAAGTAGACAGTCATTGCCACCACAAAATTATAGTCGAACCTCTAAGAAAATAAAAGAAGTGCCACAAAAAATGGTCAATCAACATGCGAAGATTTTGCATGTTTTTAATTTTAAAATTTCATTTTTGGCGATTACAGAAAAATATTAAAAATAAAAACTGTACAAGTGTATTATGCTAAATTTATATTTTTTACAACTTTGTACTGTTTAAACTTTTTAAGTTATAATGGAAAATCTTAATCATTTTACTGAATATTGTATTTTTGACTTGGGGTAGAAAAAATGAATATTTTTTTTCATCTTGGTTGTATACGCAAGTCTACTTTAGTGAGTTATTATAAAAACGATTTTAAAAACTGCCCTTTTTCTCTACACATCCTTTAGTACAATTCAATCCAAATATCACAAAAAACCAAAATCTATTATAGAGTTCTCTCCAAAATGGGGATTGTGTAATACGATTAAGAATCGATAAAAAAATAACTAGCGATAAAAAGTCCTTATTGCTGATTTTAACACCATTACATTTGACTCATTAGGCTCTTTTTTTAGTTTTACCGAAATTACAATTTGTAGTGTTTAATAGAAATACTTACTTAAATTGTGGAGTTGGTAAGAGGTTCTAGGACAACAATCGGCTTTGTCAGCTATTTAAACTTTATGTTCTACTTGCGAATTATCGATGGGCTTATACTTTGACCAGAAAAAACAGAATTCTAATAGGCTTTTGTAGTGTAACTATGTTCGTTTATTTAAACAAATGGTTAATTTGCTTAGATTCGATGCGGAGCTAAGAAGTTATTGTATTTACAATACCTTAATATTATGTGTTTTTATATTTATTTTATGTCCGTACTCATGATATCACCCAAGCCACTGAACATATTTCTTTGTGTAGAAATTTTATAATACAGAAATCGTTTAAACAGAAAACAATTTTTAAAAAACACCACTTCATCTTCAAAAATCGAGAAACACACCAAAAACAATAACATATTTTTCAACAGAAATCTACAATGCTTATACCTTATTAAAAATAGTCTTTAAAGTTCCAAAATTCTGTGGAATATTCTTTACATAAAGCTACCAATAAACATTGACAAACCAAAAAAAATATCATAAATTCGTCCCTCTTGAAGGCAAAGAAGGGATAGCAGTTTTAGGGATTTAGATTTGAATTTTAGATTTGGATTAGACTAAACTGGTTTAAATGTACTATCTACAGATTAGCATAGAAGCGTTTAGTTAAAAGTTATTTTATTAGATATCATTAATTTAACATTAATTTGAAAACTATGTGATTAATTACATAAAATATATTATCTACTACCAACATACTGAATTTTCTACTAATTGTTTTTTATTTTATCGCTTTTAGATATAAATATTTTTGTAGACATGTGCCTCCGCCCCACTATGCCCCAATCCCACTGTACTGGGGTTATTATTGTTATTTTTCAACATTATCATAAAATTGCATCACATAGAATTTAAATTCATTTAGGTTAAAATTAGAGTTTAAATATTTATATACAACACAATTAAAAAGGTGAATGTTTTTGAGGCCATCGCGTTGATTTTTCTCTAAAATGTCGTCAAACATAAAAGTTAAAACTTTTCAACACAGCCATAAACTAACTTTTTTAATAATTGTGTATTCATTTATGGTTTACTTTCCAAATAACATCAGTATTATTATGCTATTATTGTTAATTGTCGTGGCCATTTCAACACCCAAAACAATTGTTTGAATTTTAAAAATAATATGATACAACAATAAAATCTGAATATAATAAAAAAATCTGAATTTAACTTGTACTATCTAAAAAGTATAGCATCCCCATGCTCTCAGCCTGTGCCTTCATATATTTATGTAAGCTTAGGACCTCAGTGAAAAGTACGCTAAGAGTAGTAATGTGAAAGCGATTGTCTGAATATTCATTTTCCAAAAACAGTAAAATAAATTCCAAGCGCCAAGGTCATGAGTACATAGTATTTAGTTTTACACTGGATCACCTGAACATCTAGTTGCACCGCTGCAAACAAGTAAAATGTGATCATGGTTTCTCAAAACTGAAATATGTTAAACCATACTAAGGAGCACTTCGACACAAGACTTATAAGACAGTCGTAGGGTCATGTTTATCGAGAAAGGGATGTTAAACGGTGTTGACTCGGATGAAATAATCTATAAGGTGGCTAATAAAAGTAAAATGGTATCAACATTGTTATTTTTTTTTAACTAGATGATTTGTATTATTATAATTGTTTACGTTTCTCATACTTAAATTTTCAATTTTTAAGTTTAAGGGCTGTATTATTACGGAGCGAAGCGAGCAAAATTTAGGTGTCCCCTTTAAAATATATTCTTTAAGTACTACCCATCAGCTCCTTAATTGAAAGGGGGGGAGGAATTCTAGGAATCTTCAGGCCATTTAAAAGATCTTAAAGCTCCCTGAGAATTTCGTCAAATTCAAAAATGTTACACAGGGCTATGCCTTTATGATGTCTATCAAAAGTATAAGAAATTTGAATTTAACATATTTTTTTTTTCTAAAAATTAAATTTAGGTCGAATAGTATTCACTGATAATTTTGCTTGTGTGTTATGTTAGCCGTTGTTTTTGTGTTCGAGACTCAGCTATGCCGCGCAGTGTACACAATCGCCCAATGCTATACTTAACAAAAAAACCCAATAACAAAATACGTTGTAGGCATCTCATGCGATCAACTGTATACATAAAAAAAATGTTTTTTTTTTCTGCACTAACGATATCACCCAAACCACTGAACTTATTTCATCGTGTACCAATTTTATAAAACACAAATGACTTAAACAGAAAACAATTTTTTAAAACACCCCCTACCCTTCAAAAACCGAGAAACACACCAAAAATTGTTTACATATTTTTCAATATAAAATTACAATGCTCTATACTTTTTTAAAAATAGTCTTTTTACTATCAAAATTCTGTAGAATATTCTTTAAACATAATGCTACCAATAAACATTGATTAACCAAAAAAAAGTATCATTAACTCGTTCCTCTAGAATGCAAAGAAGGGTTAGCAGTTTTAGGGATTTAAGTCTGAAAAATAGAATCAGCTTTGCTTAAACTGGTTTGAACCTACTATCGATAGATTTGCATAGAAGCATTTAATGAAAAATGATTTTATCACCTTCAGCCATATATAATATACAGGGTGATGCACTTATTGTGAACTACTCAATATCTCTTAAGGTTAAAAACGAAATTAAAATTGTTTTTGTCATATTTTTTTTTATACAATGTGATCTCAATTTTTCGATTTTTTTTTTTTGTAATTATCTCCACCCTGCTTATTTTTTTTGATAGCAACTTTTGAAACTCAATAGGTAACGTACATATTTTATAAAATTTTTAAATTGAGAATAATGTAATCAAATTGTTGACTGGTCGATAACCAGGTTCGGATAACTATTTATTTTCCCATACACGCCTAGCATGAACGTAGATAATTTATATATTTCTAAGGGAGGGCGGCAAAAGAAAATTCTGGGGCAGGATATTGCTTCTTTGACAGTGTTGAAAAAAACCGTTATCTAAATAAATAGCGGCGCTTATATTAATACAATGATTTATTAAAGTGTGCTTTCTGATTTGTCAAACTAGCTTCTATATTATAACAAGGCTTTTGAGGGACAAAAACCTCTGAATCTAAGTTGTAATACACGAGCAGAAAAATATTTTACACGTGCATTGTTCAAATAATAATGTGTTTACACGTTATATTGAAAAAATATGAAGGTTACCTGTGTACGAATTTATCGGTTTGAAAAAAACAAAAAGCAACAAATGTTATACTATCAGCTACACAATTATTTTAAAAGTGATACCAAATTATCCAACTAATATACTATACATAATATTATGCTTCTTGATGGGGTACTATCAAATAAGCTTGTTAGAATTTAACCCCAATTATATATTATTTCAAACCATGTACAAATACATTGTTTTATAAAAAATCCAGATATGTATAATATTCTGATGGCTAAGGCTTAACTGATTTTGTTTTTGTAAAAAAAAACATTACAAGGTTAAGTTATGTTTATCTAAACAGGAACGAACTGCTTAAAACTTCCTAAAAGGCCTAACTCATAACTTCAACATGTTTGTATCACTTATTTTTATCTTTGACTTCTGGAATTAACTTACAAATAAGAAAATTCCTTTCCCCCAATCTATTATATATAAATTTAAAAGTTTTAAACTCATCCCAATTTTGGAGAATTTATTTCTTTACAATAGGATTTAAAACTAAAATTAAAAATGTACTACAATCCATGCATCAAACCAGTATTAAAAAATGTCCACCAGTTTTCAAAATAATTGCTGCTTTATTCATTTCAGAGTACCTACGCTTAATTTAGAGTTGTTTTCGATAGAATACACACAGGTGTAGAGGCCTCTTGATGATGTCAAGGTGGATTTTCTTCGGTTACATGAAACACGGTCTACGTATTAATTCTGATAGCCTAAGAACTCGAAGTAAATTCAAAATTAAAAGTAAAAAAACAAGTATCATCTTTGTTTTGAGCCTACTACCACAGATTTGAATCGAGTTGTTTATTTGAAAGTAATTTTTTCACTATCAGTTATAACTATTTCTGTTGACCTGTAACCTCCCCGTCCCCGCTATGCCCCGACCCCAATGTACTGGCTTTATTATATATATATATAGATTTAGCTGATCAGTCAGACACCGTACCACAATATAACATAATGTTAAAAACAATGTGAAAAATTGCATAAAATGTATTATCTACCCTCAAAATACTGCTCCGGCTACTAATTGTGTTTAAATAAAATATCGAAATAATTGAAAACTAGAAGAAAAATAAAATATAGACCATTGTAAATGTCTTGCATATGAACTATCACCTTCAGATATATATAAAATGTAGGGTGATCTACTTATCATGAAATACTAAATATCAATTCACAAGATGTACCTTGTGAGAGCTATAAATTTAATTAAATAAGTATTTCATTCTAAAATACAAAGTATGTCCAACTCAAAGTCTGGTTATTAAAGGGTCACAATAAATTTGTAGTAGCAAAAACTAATTCACATTTTTCCTGTAATCATTTAGTTGGGCCAATTAATTGTTTAGTTCTACCTGCTAGAAATTTATCGTGTCCCTATATTATCCATAATTTAAGTAGGACAATATTTAACAAATTATATTCAAGCTCCATAGAAACAGTTTTACTAAAGTATGGCGCAAATGCCAATGCTATTTGTATAATAACAGGTCGTTCGTATTTCTAAAAAACACCTGAGACGGTAAAATATATCTTTAGTAAAAAACAACTTTGGTTAGCGTTGTACAAAGTATTTGTTCAATATTTGAAATATTTCCCATATTATTAGAACCTAATAAGTCAAAATGTTTAATATGTTATAATACAGAGCCTCAATTTAGAATATCATTGATGAATAAGTTTCTTAAAAAGAAACCCGTTCAAATAACAAAATATATTAGGCACAAGATGTACCTTGTGAGAGCTATAAATTTAAATAAATAAGTAATTCATCCTAAAATACAAAGTATGTCCAACTCAAAGTCTGGTTATTAAAGGGTCACAATAAATTTGTAGTAGCAAAAACTTTGTAGTTGATAGCCTAAGAACTCGAAGTAAATTCAAAAT